GGAAAGTTGTATTCCATGTTAAACGGGCCCTCGGTAGGTCGGCCAGAGGCATAGTTGGAGGAAATGTCAACTCCCACTTCTCTTTCAATAGGACTTCCTCCCCTGTTATACCTAGGAGGATGAGCTCTTTGACTTTGTACCTCTTCAGATTAGTACTGCTCATGGGGCACATAAGGGGGAACTGGGTGACCTCCCTGGCCTTGCATTTGTATCAACAATTCTTGCATTACCAGATTTTGATTTGTAATGCTCCTCATATTGGCTGCCATAGTAGCCATTTCTCTGGTGATGGGGTCGACGTCGGACCGCTGGGGCCTCATTATCAGTTTCTCTAGTTCACCTGGGGGGAGCTTCCTCTTCTAAACTCATACCTTTTGAAATACAGAACCACGAATAATTTTCAACTCTGGGGGCTTCCTCTTGTTCTTTTCTTAAGAAAAAATCCTGTTTTTTCAAAGGGAATGCTCAAAATATTTTCTCAAATAGCTTTTTCCACGGGGTTGCTCATGGTTGTAGTGTAGTTTCCCACAGACGGCGCCAATCTGTTGACCCCAAAAAATGTTGCCAACAGATGTCAGGCCCACTCGTGTACACGTAAGCTAAATCCAGCACATTAGTGCCAATCGACGGTTAGAATATCTCCAGAATCTGAACGTGGGAGGAGCTCAACAACACGAGATGTCTCCGTTCGGGCCTTCGGCGAGATAACTATAACACGATTGTATAAGAAATCAATAGGTAAAGAACAAGATTTGTAGTTGAAATATGCTGATAAACGAGAGAATTATATAGCTTCAAGTAGTAAGAATTTCATTCAGAATTTGTATTAGCCCTATTGTGTTACATGGTGGGGGTATTTATAGTGTTACAAATTAAATGGTGACCTTTGGATCAAGTTACACGTAGCCTCATCTCCTCGGCCAAGACATCAAGTCCTAACTATCAAGTTGACTCTCCTAACCTTATAAAGCATTAAATGCCTTATATTGACAAGATAAGACACAAATATACTTTATACAAAAGTCACGTCAATCATTGAAATAAAGATCTTCATTATTGTTATATCTTTCCACGTGGATGTCCACTAGCTGCAACAAAGGGGCCTCGGATAGTGGATGTCCACCGAACCGTGACTTAACAATAATGGCCTTGGAACAAGTTAAGGCCTCGGAATCCACGTCGGAGACTAGGAAAATATACCCTGATTTAATTAGGCTAGTCCCATTGCTAAAATATGGTGCCACGTATCGCTTCCGTTTATGACTCGTAGCAATAGTCCCCCAAATCCATGTGTGGTCATTCATGCCATGTGTGGGCTTTCAATAAGTCAGGAAAATTTTTAATTTTTTGTACTTCACAACTTTTGTTTTTACTATAGCATCAAACCCCTAAACTTAATTAAAATTTTGAAAAATTCCTAAAAATTACCGGAAAATACAGTATGATACAATCTACCACTTTAAATAAATTTTATGTTTGAAATTTATACTTCTATGTGTCCTACCACGCTTCCGTTGCACACTGAAAACAATATATGACATTAAAACTTGGATGATCTAAACTGATATATGTTGATGGGTTGCAGGATCATGCTCTAACACCATCTATAATGCCTTTTCTAGTAGAAGAATGTTTTTACAAGAAGGGAAAGGCCGAAGTGGGCAAGTTCTGTCAATTTTGTCATTCGTTGCGATTTAATTGTTCAATGGCTTATGAGTTCTTCCTGCATTTTCAGCTTCATCCATGAGTAACAACAAACTTGCTCCCGTAGGCTTGCTCCTGCATGGCATGTTAAAATTCATCATTTTCGGTTTGAAAAGTGAATGATATTGATTTTGTGAAGAATGTATGCAATATTAGAAATCATGTGCTTTCTATCGGTAAATATATTATTTTAGACTTTTTGAGTAAAAGAGATCACGAATAAGAGTAAGCTTCTTTTTCCATTGGATATATATTATTTGACATCATGATTTCAAAGTCGAGTAGCTGTATAGTTTCTTTGCTTGGACCATGAATGTTGTCTGCACTTCAAACTTGTGAATGATTGGATATTGGTTCATTTGTGTATGTAATCTAGATATTTTTATGTGCAGTGGACGTGAAGTGTATTTAAAGATAAAGAGACGCAATTAATCGCAATGTGGCATGCTTGTTATAGACAAACATTATATTTCATATGATTGTTAACATATTATCACACCCGAATTGCAATGACAACAACCGTAACAACATGCTACAAATTATGTAACCGATCAAATCGGACTGAATATGTTTTACACAATCAAGAACTTATAATGGACGGTGGAATAACCTTATCCGTAGCATATTACGTAAAACTACGTTTCAAAATATGGTACATATCTTTATTTATTCATTTGATCGCATAAAATTTTATATAATAGAAAAAAATAATTTCAACAATTGATGTGCTAGATGTAACGGTAACTATTATGTTGCGTACGCGATCGTTGTATAAGTAATAGAAATAGTAAGTTTCGAGTTTATCGTTCTACGAGAAATAATGTTAAAATGTAGTTAAATAGTTAGTATTAAATTCGAGTGAGTGGTGACATTAAAAGAGTGATTTTGTGGTTTTAATACTACTTCTAATCTACACTAATAAAGCAAGTAAATTGTGGTTTTATCGAATGTGAATGCTTGTGTTGGATTCATGATTTCCCTTGTTTCCATCTACTTCAATTATCAATTAATAATCTAGTTAACTTCATGCATTTTTGACAATCGATAGCGCTAATATGTTAAATGATCTTTTCCAAGGTACATCAACCTATGATTAAAACAACCCAATCATATTTCCAGTCTAAATTCATATGAAAATCATGCATTTTGTTTAGATTATCTACATGATTGCACATACCATAAATATTATTCATAATACATATTGCTCATGTGTTTATTTTAACATGTTCTAAACTTATTTTAAGTATTCCTACATTACAACAAGTAACTAACTATTCAATTGGCAACCAAACAATTAAATAGTGCAATGAGAATGCAAAATCAATCAAAAAAATAACAAGAAAGACCTAAATTAATCGTTTTAAATTGAAATAAATAAAATATGGTTTCTCAATCATCTATACAATAGAAAAACTTAGCAATCATCATAATAATTAAATTATACAAGAATTTATAGAAAAATATCACCACGGTCGAAGAAATATGGAAGAAAGTGCAAAAATTCACTTTCTTGAATGAAATCTTGATTTTGGATGGATAATTTTCAAGAATCTTACACAATTTCCTTGATGTTGATGATCTAGTCTCATTCTTTGCCTCCAAAATATGTCGAATCTATGAATTTTTAGGTCTAGGGAGGTCTCTTACGTTCTAGCCGAGTTTTGGTATTTAAATCATGCCAAAAGATTATAATGAATTATTACCAAAACAAATAAGGAAAATCAATTTTTTTTCTTATTTTGCGCGCCTAGTACAAACTAGGGTGCGCACCTGAATCCTTTAGGCAGCCAAAAGCATCTCAGAAGAGAAGGAGGCGCGCGCCTCCTCTGCATGCCTAGTTGCATCCTTAGGTTTGAGCAACTTTCAGTATTTCTGTCATAACTTTCTCTCTCAATATCCGATTGAACTGATTCAAAGTGTGTTAGAAAGCTAAATCAAAGAGATGCAATTTTTTTAGAAATACAATTCTCCAATTCGAATGTTTGCTATGCCAAAAATGAGTTTTAATATAAGACTGAAAATCTGGAGCATAAATTTTTCAGTTAAAAATTGATGCTTGATAATATTTTGACTATATTTCACCATTTGACTTCTTTCCTCATCTAATTGACCCATATCACTCTCAAATCTTTATCATGAGGTTCGACACAGCTTTTGAGTATTTGCACTTTAGTCCCCAAACTTTGAATTACTTCATTTTAGCCATTCCATTCTTTCCTACAATTCTTCGTCCAAACATAAGTTTTTCCTAACAAAAGCAATAAATAAAGAATTAGGCATTAATGCATTCAAGAAATAACAAAATATCATCATTTAGGACCCCTAATAAGTGTAGAAATTACACTTATCAGTAACCGACTACTTTTACACAAGTGATACATTTCGTGACACTACAATAAGAGAGAACATGTTGAGCTAAACATCATTTCCTAATACATAACAATTCTCACCACATATCTTTGTTTTTACAAGAAAATCTAACATACGAATTTTGATATGATAAATGAACAATATAACAGAAAAACTACTTAGACGATAAAAAAAAATAGCAATCTTATGATGTATAAGCATGAAATTGACAATAAATTTGAAATTAATTTAATCAAATTATAGAACATTAGAACTAAATAAAAATTACATTTGTTTAAGTAGTACCTCAGAATATAGCAAGTTGGAACTTCGAGGCAATATGAACAAATAAAATAAAATAAATATAGAACTCATTTTCTTGATTTTGTCTCTTGTGATGTATTCTTGTTCTCTGTTATTTGAATTCAACTGCCCGTAACCACCCACCTTCCATAAGATGAAATCATGGAATTTTGATTTCTTTCCCTTTTTTCATTGTATTCTGTTACCTGAATTTATGTTTGTGAATGTATTAAATTAAATATTAATATCAAGAAGCTTAGGAATAAATAATATGGAACCTTACTATTGGAATTTCATACTTTTATTGGTCTAAGTATGAAAATTTCTTGATTTTGGGAAAAAATAATGGTTTGTTTGTTCGTAGTTGTTGATGTCTTCTAGTTACAAAAAAATTAGGAGAATTATGGGAGTCCATAATTTTGATTTGTTTTAGTATAACATCCAATATTTATAGTATATAAAATATCATGTAGTATATCATAAATTTTTTTATTTTTATTTGTTAAATGTGATTTTTTCCCATTAAATATTTGGAATAGTGGAAATTGTATCCATACATGTATTTAACATTTTCAATTCAAAAATCAGGTTACACCTACACTATCCACCCCATTCAAATCCTAAATCATTTTCTCCCTACTTCCTCACTGTTCTCTCTTCTCTTCTCTTCCTCTCCCTCTCACGCCATCAGATTGCACTGTCGTCGAAGCACCCACCGCCGGAGACCAACTCCATTTCACTTCAAATTCATTTTCATTTCTTGTTTCTTTGAAAAGCTCAAAATGAGTACCAATTAATTTTCCCTACTTAGCTTAAATATATCGTTTTAAATAGTAATATGGCAAGCAAGTGTCATTTCCCGCGGAGGATTGTTTCAATCTAATCAATTGCACACTAAAAATTGAAATTAACTATTATATACTAAAGTGATTTAAATGGGGGGGAAGGGTTTGGTTCGTTGAACTAAATAAAGTAATAAATTCATAATAGAAAAGACTTGAATTTGGAAGTAAACAAAGTAGTTTTTAAATCAAAGATGTGAAGATGTGATTAGAGGGTATTTCATTACCACGAGAATGATTTTCATATCAATTACCACAATAGATTTTCGTTCTCTAGACTAACAACAATTCGAGAATAATTACAAGCTCAATTATCTCAATCTCTTCTTACATGTTAGTTGAATAAATCAAGCTCTTTATTCAACCATATTCATTAAACAACCTAAAACAAGTTCTCTAGATTTAATTTAACAAAAGCATTACAACAAAAGAGATGAATTGAATTAAGGGCAAACTCACAAGCTCGGTTTACTTACTTAAGTGTTAATCCACATACAATCAATAGAAAATTCCTCATAATCCATTGAAATGTAATTGCCACAAGCTTTTAGAATAAATAGCGATTACGTACTATAAATTCCAAAATAGCATTCATTGCAACAACTCAATCATTTAGTTGTACATCCAACAATCAAGAAGAACAAAATACACATTAAATCAATGGATTAAACACATCAATCAAGAGAACTATAAAGCACAAATTAATTGAAAATCATAACTCGGGTTTGGAATCACCCCCAATCACAAATATACTTAGTTACCAATCAAATACTCAAAAATAAACAACAAATTCTTAGAACTCATTAATGGAAAATAAATTAGGGAAAAGAAAAGCTTATGGAAAATACATATATTTAACATTTTTAATTCAAAAATCAGGTTTAGGATTATTTATGCAAAAATCAGCTTATATTTTAATGTTTTAATTTTAATAATAATAATATAAAAAATTTATATACTCACACCTACCATATCTACTCCATTCAAACCCCGTATTATTTTCTCCATACTTCATCCCCATTCTCTCATCTTCCTCTTCCTCTCATGTTTATCTCTCCGTCAGACCAGGTTGCCGTCGTAGAGCAACCTCATTTCACTTCAAATCCATTTCTTTTTTTTCCTTCTCTCTCTACCTTCCCATCATCTCTTTACTTTACATATCATTCTCTCTTAACTGGAGCTCCGACCTAATATCTGGCCACGCACAGCGGCCATCAATGGCCGCAATGGACATTGTGCATGGTGGTGTGCGGTGCTCATTTCTTGTGCCCTCTTAACTGGAGTTCTAACCAGAGATTCGGCCGCGCATAGCAGCGCCTACCAAAGGCGCATGATGCACGACGAACATAGGGAATGAATTTGAGATTTATAACAATATTTTTTGAAACTAAATGTTTTTTGTAGTTTCACTTTTAACTTCATAAATTTTCTATAGTTGGTGTTGTTTATGGCGTGGTGGTGTTTGCAGGTGGTCTTTTCTGGTTGGTGGTATTTTGTGGTGGTCGCGTAGTAATTTGGCGAGGTGTGGCGTTTCTGATAGTGCCAGCAGCCGCAGCTTTTAGGATTTTTTTGGGTAGGGTTTGTGGTTGTGGTGTGGTAGAGATGGAGGGCTAGTGGTTTCGGTGGCGTGGCTGAATTGTTGGTGGTGGTGGTGGTGGCGGCCATGACGATGGTGCTACAGTGATGGTAAGTTTACCGCGTTGCTTCGTTAGTGCCGGTAATGGTTGTGAACAATTGTATATGTCATTTTGTTGGTGCGGTCGTGGTGGTTGTGATGTAGTGGTAGTTTTTGGTTGTGGGTTGGTTTGTTTCAGGTGATGGTGTTGTTGTCGGGAGGTGGTGGTAGTGTTGGCAACAGTGCAACTGGAGACAGTGGTGAGGTGTGGTCACAAATTGTTTGGTTAATTTGTGACCAAATATTGTTGGTGGATTGGGATCGGGGTGGGGTTTTTGAGGTATGTGGTTATTTGTGATTAACCATTTAATTGTGATATGAAAACTCGATAATTTGTGACTAAAAATAATTTACGACCAACTAATTTAAAAACCTGTGACCAATGAATAAACTGTGACCTATAAATTTTTTTATTTATGATCGTGAAATAATCTGTAACCATTTAATTAGACTAGTGTGGATCGTGCGTTGCATGATAACCTTTATAATTTTTGTAATTCCAGAATTGAACAATGGTAAAAATAACATTAAATTATTTCAAGTAATGAATATTCAGACACTTTAAATTACACCAATTGAAAATCATATCTCTATACAAATCATTACCCTCTCGAGTTCGTTCTCCTACACCAGCAAAGACAGAAAAACCACCTGACAAGAAAAACAAACAGCAGCACAAATCAGAGCTTTAAGTAAGGCAGGGTTCTATAAGAAATAATGCATAATATCAAAAACCAACCATGAGCTTTTGCAACATTGGTAATCAGTTCCATGATAAGAACAATCTCTCCTACACCAGCACCACCAAACAACCCAATCTTTCCTCTTTGGTATGGTGCAAGAAGGTCGACGACTTTATGTAACAAATCAACACAGAAAACTGTGACCAACATAAAATGACATGAACCTCCATACCATGATAAATAAGAAGTGATTGCGAATGGAATCCATCAAATACAGATTGGACCTGCAAGAAAGTACCTTGATACCANATTAATGAAAAAAACCTAGATACCAGTGACGAGAATTTGTTGTTCAGTTGCTTGCTCCACAAATGCAGGAGCTGCACGATGAATTGGTAAATAGTGATCGGTTTCTGTAGCACCATTCATTTGTTAGAAAAGACACAAGCCTTTTTCAGTCACTTTAAAGATGTTTTGATCATTGAGAAGCAACACTTACTAATATCGCATCTCTCATCAATAGGCTCTCCAATGAGATTCATAATGCGGCCAAGGGTTGCTCTACCCACAGGCACCTTTAATCAAATGAAGAGAAACAATATAACCATCATAAAAAATAAAACTCTTATAGGACATAATAATAAACAGCTTCAGAAATCAAAGTAGGAACATTTTAAGTGATTTTCAACTATCACAACCATAAAGTCAAGCCACACTTGAGTTGAGGCTTACGACATCAAGTCTGCAAACTGTTTGGAAAAGAAAAGCAAACATGACGTTGAAGACCGAACAGACATCAGATGTATCTTTAAAAACGCCCTAATCAATGAAGACAAGAACTCACCCCCATAAGACCTCAACAAAAGCAATAAAGATTACCTTCTCAAATAAAATCGAACCATTTTAGAGATGCTGAAGCCAATCATAATCCTGCCATTGCTTTCAAAAAGCAAATGTAAATGTCATTTGAAAAGTGTGGCAACTTTTTAGCTAATACCATCCTTAAGTAACATAACCCAAATTTTAAGCTTTGCTTCACAAAATTTAAAGCTCAAAATCCGGCACGCATCCACAACAGGTATAAAAATTCAGTGTTGACAATATTTAATCAAAGAACCCAAAAATGCCAATATACCAATAAATCGAATTCTTAAGAATGTGAGTAGCCTGTGAAACTATCCACCCACCACTCATGTGAAAATGCCACGTACTTGTAGCAAAACCCCAAATTCAAATACATTCTCCATGCTTCAAGTTGTTCTGATATTGTCTCAGACGCAATCTCTTCGTAATTCATTCTCCTCTCTCATGTAATGTTCACAACCACCAAAGATACACTAAACTAAATAAACTCACATAATAACTATTCTCCATAAATATTATGTTTTATAGCCCTAAATACTCACATTCTAAATCATTCAAATCAGCTATACCCATTTCTGAAATTTCAGATTCTTAGACAGCTATAAAACCATGCAAAAAAAAAAAAAAAATACACAATTAATGCACACAAATCACTACAAAGAAATACAAGAAGAAAAAATCTAATAATAAATAATTTTACCAAAGACTTAAAAAATTAGGAACATAATTATACATACTTACCCTCTACGCCTTCAAACCGCCTGCTCCTCCTTCCATCACACCTTGATTTTTTCCTTTCACCTTAAAATTCTCGACGTTGCTTGTGTTGTTTCTCATTCATATCAAAACTTATAAATCAACAAATACAACATTTCACGAAAGCTCAAAAAATATATTTTCAACACGTTCGAACTAAAAAATAAAAAAATAAGATAAACAGAAGTTCCAAATGTAGAAAAAAAATCCTCCTATCAAAACTAAAAAGGAATCGAATAAATAAACAACTTAGACACCCTTTAAATAAGAAAATTTAAAACTTAAAATATACCCAAAAATATTCGAAAAATAATATAATTTTTGAAGAAACATTTGCTGAAGATTTCAAAGCATGCAAAAAATAAAGAAAAAAGTTAACTAATAAAATTGCAAAACCAAGATCAAACTTTTTGACACAAATTAAAAATGGAACTGAAATATTTATACATTTTGTATTGCCCATATTTTTTTAAAAAGATAAAAAGAATTCATTAACATAGAATATGAAAAAACTATACATTTCACAAAATGCAAAAAACTAAAAATTTTCTAGAATCAACTTCAACTCTAAAAAATAATAAATGTATAAATAAAAACAAATTAAGAGATGAAAAGGGGAGCTAACAAAGTAAAGCACAAACTCATCACACACACTCTTAACTTACGAAATTTGTATGTTTTAAGTTACGATAACGGTGGGAGGAACCTATACATAAAAATAAAATCAGCACCTTCAAGTAAATTACACCACAACAAATTAGGTATAAACAATTGAATAACTTGAATTCAAAGTACTGTAAATGTAAATCAATACTTCCCTCTCGATTTAAAATGATTGGCACCAATTGTAGATGTATTAGGGCTCAGATAAAAAAAACCCCGAAATCATGAAGCAACTCCACACAAATTGGACCAAGAATCCCACTTCAAAACCATGAAAGAAACATCCAAGAATCACAAAGAAACTGCAGCGAACGGATTGCGCAAGGAAGGCAACGAGCAGGGGAGACCACGACCAGATCATGAGAACATATGGTCTTGCTGGCAAGGTAATCAAGTATGACATGCTACTTGCCAACATTCCAAAGAAAATACAAATAAACAAAATAAGTTAACAGAACATTAATGCAATATTTTAAAGTAAGATTGGGGAAAAAGAAAAAAAAAAACAATATATAAATAATTCAGTCAGCCTTGTTCGCCACAGCTTCCAAATTTTCTTGTTACATGTTGTCAAAAAATCACAGAAATGATGCCAGTGTTAGCTTCTGTTTATGTCATGGAAACAAATATCACAAAGCTTTTTACCTGACCATGTACATGATCCACTGGAATGCCAAAATAGCCCATTGACTGACCAACAAACTATTATGAATTTAAAGACCGAAATGATTATAGACATTCCAAAAAATAGAAGTCTAAAAGAACAAATCTTCGACCCCAAAAAATAGAAACACTTCAGGTAAAATGCATTTACAATGAGATTGTTGGCCAGAAGATTGAGATTTCTTAATGCATTTACCAAGTCATCATATATACTTTCATCAAAAATATTTTTCCTTCGCAATGATTTCTTATATCTTCCTTCATATTCTTAAATCAAAAAAATTAAATAGAATTACAATTTTCCTCATATCAAGCATCAACTGCAGAAGAATCGAGATAAATTTTTTAACTAGAATTAAGTCCTTGTGTGGCCCCCAATTTCTAAAACACATTTTTCCTCAATTCATTTTCAACCACACATTTCATGGGACCCACAATTTTTATCAACATTTTTATCCACACATTTCATCAACTTCATCAAAATCTACTAATAACTTGATTTTTAGCTAAACTAACGGGGCAGAATCAATAACAGAAACAAAAAGCAAATCATAGTAGAGATTATCCTTAGCACAAAATGATGCAAGAAAGTAGAAAAACACTCTAAAAAGAATTGAAATACATACCTCTTTTGTTGTCAAAATATTTGCCCCTTTGATATCTCGATGAATGACACGTTGTTCATGTAGATACACCAGACCTTCAAGTACCTGACAACAAGTATATTGCTGAACATTTACAAGCAAAGCAAGTGAACATAAAATAGCTAATGAACAATGAGGTTTTCTTTATGAGACCTGGGCTATGTATACGGCCACCAAGGACTCCGGAAAAGGGCCAAATTTATTTGGCTTGATAATATTAGCGAGTGATCCATTCTCCACATATCTATAAAACGAAGTAATAAAATTTATAAGTTCTTGTGATCTCTGTACAAGTAAATAAGTTAAAAAATGCTGAAGATCTTGTAAGCTTGACTAACTCGAGAATTATATGAAGGTGAGTCTTTGTCTTCAAAGATCTAAGATATTTCACAATATTTTTGTGATTTAAAGAGAGAGAACCATCCAGCTAGAGAAAAGTGGAAAAAAAAACATAATAGAACTCCAAATGTCCAATATTTGCAGAAAATAGGACGGAAGTGGAAAACATCAACAGCTCATAATGGTAGGTGCAGAACATGATAAGATAAATAGAGTGACAAATATTTAGCGAAATGAGGATGTTAGCTTCTCATAAGTTCAATTTCCCGAACAGTCATGAGACTTCTAGAGAAAAGACCAATTTGGAAAGAAGAAGAGCAAAGTTGCATAGCGGAATGAATGTCGAAGTTCAACAAAAGTATGCATTATCGCAGGCAACGATACAGGTAGCTCTTTTCATTAGCCAGGCAATTGATTAACAAGTGTATGCATGAGTGTGTGTTTAACTGCTTGAACTAATCCTCTTGGGAGCACAGATCCACAGTCAAATAGAGGGCTCTCACGGGTTCAAGCCTTAAGCTAGGTTGAGATGAAGTTTTTTCTCCCCTAATCTCGAGGGAAATATTAAGATAAGGTCTGTACTCTATTTCCTTTACTTCAAGGGTGAAGCAGGGACAAGAAATTAAGCAATCGAGGAATGCAGGAGATCCAAATTCAATATAGTCGGACTGTGAAAGACCCGAATAAAATGTGTGAACGCACAAATGTATGTATGTACGTATAAACATAGCAGGATGTTACCTTGAGCAAATCAATCTCTTGCTGTCAAGTTCAACTATCCAAGTGTCCAACAACAGCATTATTCAAAAGGAAAAGCCACAAATTCAGGGGAAGAAATTACAATACAAATAAACAAATAAGTCAGGAAAATTGTGAAAAGGAAGAACATTGAGATACCATAAGAATGTTTAAGTCCTCCTGAGCAATGTTCTCAAGAGAGACTTGCTTGATTGCAACAAAGTTGATGAGAAAATCAACGAAGCAGGGTCGAATATTAGGATCACATAAATTCACTATATCGTTCCTACATAGGTATAAACATATTTGGTCTCTGATCCTTAACTCCCACTTTCAACAATTCATTTGGTTTTCTGTAAATTTTTTCTACCCATTTGAATTTCATGGATTATGTTAATCACCAATCTTATGAGATTACAATCATGCATTGACCGATTGCTGTTGCAAAATCAACTTAATTTAGTGAGGTAAATTTCCATATGATTTAGCAATAAAAATAATATGTACGAAGCATTTGAAGTGTGCGTAGAAATCAAGAAAATATTGATGTTAAATTAAACAGGATACCACATCTTAAAGAGGAACATTTAATTCTTTCAAATTATAAGTAGTCATACCTGCCAGCAGTAGACAATGAAAAGGAGAAAACCACCGAGATGAATATCAGTGAAAATGAAAAATCTGAAAAATGAATAAAACAAATTAGTTGACACACAAAATAGGATATGAAGTTTATGAACACAGAACAAAACAACACGTTCAAACTCTAACTCTTCAACCAATAAAAAAACCAAATAATAGATTCAAACCATAAATCTTTAACTTAAAAAAAATTATAAGAAAAAAAAACACCTTTGAAGCCTAAATATGGATACCCAAAAATAAATTCCAAACTTACAGCATTTTAACATAGAATCACTTTGAAAGACTACATCTTGAGCTCACCAACAACATAAATAAAAGCTTGAAAAAGTATATTTCAAATCAAATATAGACAACAAAAGAATTTGTAAAGTAAATAAGACAAATTAGTTTATAAAAATGAAATAATAATACACATGAAGAAGAAAATGACGGTCCGAAGATTCTGATTATGGGTTTAAATCTGAACCATTTATTTTCTTCTGGGCTTCCTCGGGAAGAACAAGATTAAGATAAAATGAACAGCATCACGTTTTCAGAAAAAATCGAATGAAAAACTTTCAACTCTGTAAACATGAGAGAAGAGAAGAAAGTACGTACAAATTAGCGTGGATAATGGAGGAAAGGGGATGGGAGTTAGCGTGAATAATGGAAAAAGTGCAGGAAAAAGTGGCAAAGGAAAGGGGATGGGAGTTTGCGTGTAAGAATTGAGAGAGAATGGGAGAAGCGTACCGAGAAAGAAATGGAAGGAAAAGAAATTGGCTGGGCTCGGCTTATGTGACTCAACTCAAAAACGGCTTGGCTGGGTGGCCAAATGGCTTAGGAACCGTGCAAGTAAGTTTTCTCTTTTATATATTGTAGGGATAATATGTTACCAATAAATAAGTTGTCACCTATAAGTATGTACGTGTGGCCATTAATTGTATAATTATGACATTAATATATTTAATTAATAAAATATATTTAATTATTTATTTATCACCTCAGTTTTAAATTTTGAAACTCAAAACCTAAAAATTGAATTGGTTATAATTAATACTCCAGTTGTGAATTTTTCCCTATAGTTAATTGTGGAAATTACACAAAATCGGACTTTTAAAGTTCCAATTTCAAATTTCAGATATAAACTTTATTTATACAAAAATCAGATATTAATTCACCTCCATCTAAATTATAATTACCCAAACCCTAAAAATCTCAAATCATTTATCACATTTCATTCTCTCTCTATTCTCTCCTTCTATCTCTTCCTCCTCGCCGTCTCTCTATCCCAACTATTACTTTCGCCGGATACCACCACAAATGTTGCCTCTACGAGACACGTCGCAGCTGCCCACGGTGTGAACGACGCTGTGTTCAGCGGCCGCTGTACACATTGCGAATAGTCGCTTCTGTATGGCGTGAGTGGTGCTGCTGCAGTAGTTGCTATGCGATACTCATCATATTTGTGAGTAGCGTGAACGCCAGCGCAACGGTGAATGATGGGGGATCTGGGGAAATTTTGGCTCAAATTTGGTGTCGGAGTTTTGTTGGTTGCAATATGGGAGAAAATTTGGAGTGAGTTTTGTTGGATATGTGTAGTTGGTGGTGGTGTGGCTGTGCTCTAAGGTGGTGGCGATTTTCGTGAGGTTCCCAAGGCGTGAACGGCTCTGCCCTCAACGGTCGCTATGCACATTGCAACATTTCCGCTGCCGTGAATGATGAGGGATCTGAGAAAAAATTGGCTACAATTTGGTGTTGGGGTTTTGTTGGTTGTATGAGTTTTATTGGTTGCGATATGGGGAAAATTTGGGGTGAGTTTTGTTGATTATGTGCAGTTGGTGGTGGTGGCGGTGCTATGAGGTTGTGGCGATTTTCATGACTTTTGTGGCAATGTTGATTTTTTTTTGGTGATTTTTGTTTGTTGCTTTTGTTGTTGGTGGTGGTGTCGAAGTCAGTGGTGGTTGCTGGTTATTGGGTGATCATCGCAATGTCAGTGGTGGTGCGGCTGTTGTGAATTTGATTTGTTGGTGCTTTTTGGGTGACGATGACAACAATTTTGTTGGATGTTGGTGGTGGTGGTGGTTTTGGTGGTCATAGTAGTTGGAAGTGGTGGTGCCCGGTGGATTGGGGTAGGTAGTGGAATTAAGAGGGTTTGTGATCAATTATTTAAGATTGTGACCATTAATTGGGTATTCCGTGACTAAAAAATAACGTGTGACCGATAAATTGTGAGTAATAAATAATATGTGACCTAAAAATTTGAATTGTGACTTATGAAATTTGTGATTTGTGACCAATAAGTGAATTGTGATTTATAATTTTTTTTTTTTATTTATAACCAATAAACGAATTTGTAACCAAATTGTATACAATTGCGACCAAGTTGTGATGTATAAATTTTTTTCTTTGTGACCGATAAACAAATTGTGATTTATAGAATTTCTGAATTACGATCGTAAAATAATTTGTGACCTTTGATTTCTGACGGTAAAATAATTTGAGACTTATAAAATTTCTGATTTGTGTCCGATAAACAAATTGTGATACGTAAAATTTTTGAATTGTGACCATAAAATAATTTGTGACGTTTTAATTTTTGATTTGTGATCGATGAACAAATTGTGACCAATAAAATTTTTAAATTGTGATTGTAAAATAATTTGACATATAAAATTTGTGATTTGTGACCAATTATATGAAATTTGTGACTTTAATGTATTTCATTAATAAAATATATATTTAATTAATAAATTTATAAATAAAATTTAAAAAAATCTGAGATTATTATCTCTTAAATTTGAAATGGGTAAAACTAAACCTCTTACTTATGAAATTTTCCCTTTTCAAATTCCAAAATTACTATTCCTACTTTTTTATTTAATTCTCAAAACACGGTTTTTTTTTAAAAATTTTAAATTACTTAACCTTATAAATACTACCTTGTATTCCCAACCAAATCCTAAAAATAACACCCCACCAATTGAATCTAGTAGTGAGTAATGCGGATGTGGTAATGGTAAAGGTGATGGTGCTTTGGGGGATGAAGTGCTGCTGGTAGAGATGGAATGCGATTTAAGATTTTGGGTGTAGAGTTTGATGGTGACAACATTGGATTTATATGGTTGTGATGGTGTTTGGGTTTGTGGAGATGGTCGTGGTGGTGGCAAAGTGTATAGTACAATTTGTTACAAATATTGCACTTTCGGTAATGCAAGACAATGATAGTGGAGGCGGTGAGATGATGGTATAATGTAGTTTGTTACAAGAATTATTTGCATCAAAAGTGACAGTGGTGGCATAGTAACAAAGTGTGTTACCAAAAAGTATAAAAAAGTACGAATATCATTTGAAAATAAAAAAAGGTACAAAAAGAAAAATGATATTTTTTATTGGTTACAAAACTTGTTTATACCTAGCACCACCAACCGCTACCACTAAAACGCCACTGCTAACACCATCACAGCACATCGAATCAGAAAATCACAACAAATCGGGTTTTTTAAAATTTTAATTAATAATTATTGAATTATTAAATCAATTTATTATTAAATATTTAATTCTAATATAATATAATTGCCCCACCCCACCTCCACAATCCCAACCGACTTTTCGATCACCATTCTTCTCCGACGACTGTTTCGACAACCGTTCCGGCGACTGCTCCGATTCTGGCGAGTACTCTGATTCCAACAAGTATTCCGATGACCTTTTCACCACTTTTTAGGTCACAATTCAAAAAATTTTTAGGTCACAATTTGTTCATTGGTCACAACTTAAAAATTTAAAAGTCACAATTTGTTCATCGGTCACAATCATAAAATTTAAAAGTTATGTTACTTAATAATTTTTAAGTCACAAGTAAAACTAGTAGAATTATCTGACTGTATTTTTTCTGCTGAATAAACTTAGAATAACTAAAGGATAATCTGGAATTATATTGCTTAAATTGTTTGTAGTCCATAGTTTCTTATGAAAGGAAGGACTGTGGAAGGAATTGAGTTTGACCCTCCCTTATCCAAAATTATTTAATCTGGAATTATATTGCTTAANGTGACCACTCCAACAACAACAAAAACCACGATCTCAACAGCAAGGAACCAGACATCCATCCACACACAGAACACGTACACACAACCGCACCCGCCGCCCAACTTCAGATCCACAATTCGCAGCGCCCAATCCACCGCCAATACCAAGGCACCGCACCGTTTACGACCACTCACCCACGCACACACAGCAACCACCATCACCGATCCACCACCTCTGTACCCATGCACACACGCCCAACAACACCGTTCGATAGAAACCACCACAGATCTACAACCATCGGCACAAATCCACCATTAAACCACCACTACCATCCATAAAATCAAACTCGAAAAAAAAAAGAAGGGACATAACAGATCTGCGCCGCTGTGACCAACGGTGGTGGGCGCGCGACATTGCAGTGAAGGAGTGAGGACAGAGAAGGGCATAGTTTTGAGCGCCGGAGAGAAGAAGAAACGTACCGCTTCGAGCGTCAGTAAAAAGAAAGAAACAAACCGTCGGTAGGGGAAGAGAAAGGACAGAGACGCTGTCGGTAGGGGAAGAGAGAGGACAGTGACGTGAGGAGAGAAGACTGCGCCGGTAGATATGGGAGGGGTCACGAGCGCCGTCAGAGAGGGAGAAGAGAGAAGACGCCGACGGGGAGAAGAGAATATTGGGACGGAGGATAATGAAATTATATTTGATTTTGGGATTATAAATTGAGATGAAATTTAATAATTAATTAATTATTATTTAATTAGATATAAAAAATTTAATTTTTGAAATGTTAAACTAGTGATCTGATTTGTGAAAATGGAAATCTAAATCGAGGCCTAGGTGTAATTTCCTCCTTTTTAATTATGAAATTTTCCCTAGTTAATTCCCTATGCTTGTACCCAAAATTGAGAGGCCGAAGCCCAACTGTCATAATACAGACAGGGCCTTCTATTAATCCAGGCCTTAAAGCCCGGGATATCAACACCTAAAGGCCCAAATCACAACTCCGAAAAGAGGTGTCGAAAATGACAACTCTTTTCAACTGCGAAAAAGAGAAAAGGGAAGCTTCCCACAAATAGAATACAAAAACACTTCTTCGCGTTTCTCCACTCTCACACACTCTCTTGAAAAACTTCTCCCATTCTCATTTCTCTCTCTAAAAAGTCGTTTTATCAATGGCATCCCCACGCGAGGAGAGCGTGTACATGGCCAAGCTGGCCGAGCAGGCCGAGCGCTACGAAGAGATGGTGGAGTTCATGGATAAAGTGGTCGCGGCGTCGGATGGCGGCGAGGAATTGACGGTGGAGGAGCGTAACCTCCTATCTGTGGCCTACAAGAACGTTATTGGTGCTCGCAGGGCTTCTTGGAGGATCATATCGTCGATCGAACAGAAGGAGGAGAGCCGCGGCAACGAGAGCCACGTTTCCGCCATCAAGGGTTACAGATCTAAGATCGAGTCAGAGCTCTCAAACATCTGTGATGGGATTTTGAAACTTCTCGACACAAAACTCATCGGATCCGCCTCCAGTGGTGACTCCAAGGTCTTCTACTTGAAGATGAAGGGTGATTATCACCGCTACTTGGCGGAGTTTAAGACTGGTGCCGAGCGGAAAGAAGCCGCCGAAAACACTCTTTCTGCTTACAAATCGGCTCAGGTGAGGTTTTTCGCTTTTCCTGAATTATTTATATTTTTTCGATTCGTTATATATTAATATTATATTTAATTGTTTGTGATCTAGCGAATAGTGTGGCAGAAGTCCTTAGATCGAGCTTTTAGAATTTGGGTTTTACAATGGAATTTATTTGATCAGATTTGTTGGGATTGTTGTCAAGATTAAAAATTTAGACCGAGTTTCATAATTTAAAATTCTTCTTATGGTTAAAATATTAAAGTGGCACTCTGTATTTATTTATCACTTTTGCTTAATTTATGGAAAATTGTTGATTTTATTTGAAACCGGAAAAGTGTTATGAATCATTGTATTTTATTTGACTTATTGCTTATTTTTGAATCCTGGATATACTTTCTTCTCCATGATTAGCAATTTTGTGAAAATGCTGCAGTGAAGTTTCATTTTACTTAAATTTAGACATATATAGTTTGGCTTTTAATTACTTCTCTCTTGTATTGAAAAGTTTGATTCTTTTATTTATTTATTTATTTATTTTGCAGTAGATCATATTCCACACAGCAAATGAAATAATTTGAGCTCATTGATGCAAATTATGAATCTCATATGATGAATTTTGAATTTATTTGCTAAACGTGTGTGGTGTTTGCAGGAGATTGCAAGTGCCGAGCTTGCCCCAACGCATCCAATCCGGCTTGGACTAGCACTCAATTTCTCAGTCTTTTACTATGAGATTTTGAATTCTCCTGATCGTGCTTGTAATCTTGCCAAACAGGTTTACAGTATAATCATACTTTTTATCTCAAATCCCTTTGTTGTTTCTTTACCTTAAATGAAATATGTTGTTTCTTAACCCCAAAGGAAATATTATACCACACGAACAAGTGAAAGATCAGTGCCTCTTGTATACAAGTTCAATATGAAACTGAATTGAGTGTCTTTCAGTTGAAAGTGATGTTATATTGTGGTTTAATATTCACTTCTCATTGGTTAGGCTTTTGACGAGGCAATTGCGGAATTGGACACCCTTGGAGAGGAGTCTTACAAGGATAGCACTCTGATCATGCAGCTTCTCCGTGATAACCTCACTTTGTGGACTTCTGATATGCAGGTAAAGTTTTTTGTTCTTTCCTTCTGTAGTGCTTCCCAGGCCATTATGAAAGAGTTTAATGTATGTCACTATTTATTATTCTGATATAGGATGATGGTTCTGAGGAGATCAAGGAAGCACCAAAGCTGGATAATGAGTAGTTAAGTTTTGTGTTTTTAGCATTTGGGTGTTTTGCTATGGTTATTGGTAGTGTTTCTTTTTTTTTTTATTGAATTAAAACTGCTGCTTGTAGCCAGTGTTCTGCTTTATTGTCTACTTGTTTGCTAAACTCCAACTTTAGAAGCCAATATTCACCAATTTGTTACTTTCTCGTTTTCGTTTCTCAGCGCCAAAATTTATTTCGCAATAATTTTATATGCATTGTGAAAGTAATCTTTAGTTTAAATTATTGTTGTACTTGATGATTTATTGATTGTTGCCAAATGGTTCTAATATTACGATTATCTCCCTTTTTCTCCCTCCCTCCCTCTCACCCACCCACCCACCTTCCTTCCTTGTGTTTACCGGTGGCTAAAGATGGAAAAGATTATTTATAATGTGGGTTCACCATTGGCTAAAGAAAGGGGAAATTGATGGCATATATGAACACCGGCAACAGAATCAACTAGTCGAAAACCACATGCATGTTATGCAATGAACCTTTACTTGAACACCGGCAACAGAATCAACTAGCGGAAAACGACATGCATATTATGCAATGAACCTTTACTTGAATGATAGATTAAAAATATATTACCTTTTTTTTTCCCCTTATTCTACTTATTCATTTTGGTTGTTACAGCAGAAAGTTCACTATTTTCATTAATGAGGATCAATGGAATCACAATGTTAAATAAGAGCCTGTTTGGCCCCCATTTTTTGGGGTTGAAAATTTGTAGAATAGTGATTGATGGGAAAATGTGTGGTAGAAAAGTTTTAGCTTTATGTGTAATATTATTTTATTTGAGAATGTGTGGTTGAGATGAAGAGAGAGAGAATTAATGTAATGGAATGAGAAAAAATGTGGCTCAAACGGGGGCTAAGATACCAGTTTTCCTTGGTCTCAGTTTCTGGTTAAATAGATTGGTTGTTGAGTTTCACTTGGAGTAGTTCAATTATATAGAGAGAGGAAGTATGTGGGTGTGTGGTTGTGGAGCAAGGATTGGAGTTTTGGAGGCTTAAAGCATGAAGCGAAGGCATGAAAATTGCTGCCTTTGTCTTCTCAAGCTGGCAGAAGCTTCGCTTGAGCGGAGGACAAAGGCATGTCCCTTTCTGCTCAAGCGAGAAGAAGGCCTGCTTGAGCAGACACCTCCTGCAACTTGCGGCAAATTCAAATTTTGAATTTCTTAAATATGGAATCACACATCTTTTCATGGAGAAAAACATCATTTCATGTATAGATGGATTTATAAAAATAGTTGTATTTCATGTAAGATAATCACATCGACACCATATAATCATTGAGATTTTGGTCTTTCAACACGTTCAAATCATAAAATCTAGTTTTATATTTGTTCTTTGTTCATCTCTGAGTTTTTGGCTTATTGCTTGACACAAACTCATTAAGGCTTGATTAATCCTTGGGGCTATTTGGCGCTAATTCCAGAACCAACAGCAACAGTCAGATGGAGTAGAGGGTTGAAAGGAAAACAGACGAGAAAATTAATTGATATGTTGATGTGACATTCTAAATGCTATATTGAATCACTACCAACACTTCATACTCTAATGAATTTGGGAAGCACTCGAAAACAAGTATAAAGAGGAAGAGGAAGGTACCAAAAATGTTTCTAATTTCAAAGTACTTTGATTTTAAAGTGCTTGATGATATTCTTTTGCTACCACAAATTTAGTAATTTAAATCATTGTGAATAAGTTGAAAGGAGTGAAATTCCCAAGTTGGTGCTGTAATTTCCAAGTTACCATCAACTTGAAGAATATTATTTAGTGCGATGGTTGAACTTATGAGTGTGATAAAGAGGGAGAATATTTCTCTAGTGAATTCAATAATTTTTGTGAACGTGATCTCTTTCTTACATCCAAACAAAATGGCATGGCTCAAAGAAAGAATAGAAGATTTTTAGAAATGTTGAATGCTATGCTATTAACTGCTATTTTTGCCATTTAATATATGGGTGACTTTACTTAGTACATGTTATATTATAAATCAAGTAACTATGAAAAGAATAAAGCTTCTCCATATGAGTTATAGAAAGTTAGAAAATCAAACATTGAATACTTTAAAGCTAGGTACAAGAGGTATAAAGCTCCTATATAACCCCATTTTTGAGGGAAAATGTGTTTTGAAATAGTAATTTTTTGGAAAAATGTATGGTTAAAAAATAAGAATTTTTTTTGGATTTACGTGTAAAATTATTTTATGAGAGAATGCGTGGTTGAAAAAGAGTTTTGAAAAAATGAATTTTTGAAAAAAATGAAGCCCGAACAAGGGCTAAATGTGCCTTCCTGGGATATTTTAAATAGCGAGGCATATGGACTTCTAAACCTAGAATCCAATGTGATAATAGAATCCCATGAAGTTGAATTGTTTGAGAATTTATTAACATCGTAAAGAGATTCTCAAAATTCTAAGGAAACTTTGGAGGTTCCTATATCTAGTAAACCTCAAAGAAGTGAGAGTTCGTAGAATAAAAAGAATAGGACATGATGAGATTGGTTTTTCACTTATTTTTATCTAGTTAATAGAAGGAAGTAGGATGGCTGTTATTAGAAAAATTCCATTAATTTCTCAAGCTTAAAATGATCTTGAACATATAAAGAAGCACTGTCTTGTGGGGACTCTAATTATGGAAAGATGCCATTAGAGATTAATTGAAACGGGTGTTAAGGAAGAAGATGTGGCGAATTCGGGAGTGTTGATGAGTTAGAGAGGTCATTGGTTGTTGACAGTCAACGATCGCAATAGTGATGTCATTTATTAATATTTAATTATACAATATTAAAAATTCTTCAATCTACATGTAAATGTACTGAAACGTAAAAATAATATACATATGAAAATATAATTCAATACAACCCAAAATAATATGAAAAAAATACACGATGCAACCCCATTTTGTAACTGTAAGCTTAGACAACTACATTATTCGGGGCTTCATATTTTGAAAGCGTTGCAAGATTGCATAATTCTCAATTTTTTCAAAAATCTATTTTTCCAAGTAAACCACTAAGTTGTCATTCAACCAATCACCTCCAATTTTGTTGTGCAATTCACATTTGATTAGATTCATAGTAGAGAATTCTTTTCAACACTTACGGTTGCCACATGTAATACTAAAGCCAAGGTGATAAACCTATAAACCAATGGAAAATAACGAGAACTTCTTATTTTAATCAACTTCTGAGACCCAAGATATGCTATTGAGGTAGACGAAAGTTTCGTCCCTTCTCACAAGCATAAGAAACGTATCAAGTTGCGGTATGAGTAATACGAGCTTTTAACTAGTGAAGTCCAAAGGATAAAATTAGCAATGTGGCCATATCAAAAGTAGCAAATGAGGCTTTTGTAATTAAACATGAAATGCTAGTAAGGATCTCAGTGGTCGTCTTTGGAAAACGAGCATTCAACTATTGTAAGATTAAGTCTATCATATGACAATACAAATCAACATATAAATGATGATTATAAGTAACATATTGAGCTCCATGTCTAGGTTGACCTCTCAATACTACAATATCCTTCATATTGGGCATTGCAATATGTCTACCAATACAAAACTCAATCACCCCACTCAAGTAGGAATACAAACAATAAGTCGCACCATTTTTTATACGTATTCCAATCAATAAAATTCAGAGAACCATTCTTTCCTACAGCACCTATTATCATTTCTCATCGACCTTCTTGGAAAGTCATGTTCATATGGTTGATAAAAACCTTTCTCTGAGTATACTGTCTTAATATCATCTTCGATATTAGGATTGTATGACCCTATAGGGAAACATTTCCCTGGATCAAACACAATATCATCCACATTGAATTGATCCCGAAACTTCTCTGTGTTATCAATGGTTAAAAATTCATGTGCTAGACTAGAAGTAGTGGTGGGACTAGATGTACCACTAGAAGAACTATGCTAGAACTTTCATTTCGGTTGAAAAATCGTTTCATAATCTGTATGAAAATTAAGTGAAAATTATATATTAAACGTAAATTAGACTTAATTTTAAACTATCGTCAAGTTTCAATTTGTAACACTAACAAATCACAAATTTTCCAATTTATCATTTCTCACAAATCACAATCTACAGATATTACATAATCACAATTCAAAAATACTCTAATTTTCATAAATCATAAATCTTAGCAGCAGACTCACAGTCATAAAACATAAATCATATTCCCCAATGAAAATGACATAAAGAAATGAACTAAAAAAAGAGAGGCTCATACAGCGACAACAAACAGTGGTGGAGGATGAAGGATTGGCGTCGACGACAATCGACAGTAGGTCACAACTCATTCGACATTGAAGCTGCACAATGGGAGGAACTAGCGAGGTGGGGTTTGGTACTTTGGTTTGCATGCGTATGCTTAATCGTTTAGGAATTAGGAGGCCTGTAGATAAATGATAATCACAAGGGAAAAATTAATAATTCAGGGGTTATCTTTAACACAATTCAATTTTCAGGTGTCAAGTTTTAAAATGCAAAACTCCTGTATTTATTTATTAATTAAAAATGTTTTATTAATTAATTATTAAATAAATTTACTAAATATTTAATTATAATATAATATAATTAACTCACCCCACTTCCATCATCCCTACCATTCCGGCGACTGTTCCGGCCACTACTTTTCTCCTGCGATCGTTCCAGCGATGGCTCCGGTTCCACGACTATTTCGGTGACCATTCCGACGACTACTCAGATCCTACAATTTATACAATATGGTTACAGATTCATAATTTAGATAGTCACGTATCATTTTTCAGTTATAAATAATAATTTTTATATGTCACAGATTATTTTACGNACTCTCGAATCTCCGGCTACCACCACCAGCCACCATCAACCACCACCACTAATAATCCACATCACACCACAACCGCCACCATCAACTGCACACAACCAATAAAACTTCACAGTCAAACCACCACGATGTCACCCCTGTGCCACCGCCTACAGAATCACCACCTCA